TATCATTGATTCTGTGAACCTAGTTGATCAGGAAAAACTATTATCTTTTTTTTTTTGGTGTACTTATAAAAAAATTTCTTTTTTATGATCAACTTTGAAAAATTCCTGAAAATGACCTTTTTTTTGCTTTTATTCTTATTTCTCTTTCTAACTTTTTGTTTCTGAATTTTATTATATCCATTTCATGGTCACACCAACTTTATGTTTTCTATATTTGTTTTCACATTACTAATTAAATGGAAAGTTGTTAAGTGAAAATTTATTATCATCGATAAGCTTGAATTTATTATTTTGTTGCAATTTAATTGTGTTTTTTAATATCCATATCTAATTTTTAAATAATCATATTGATTATTTTTTGTTAAATTTCAAAATTTATGTTATAAAATATATCATAATAGACAATATTTGTGTTTAGCAGCTAAGAAATTTGGAATTACTGATATTCAAACTGAATTTTCATAAAATAGTATGAAATAAAATTTTAAATTTCAAAAAATATTTGGAATGGAATGAAATGAAATTTTAAATTCCAAAATATTTTGGAATAGAATCGGAATGAGTATCATTCCATTCCGTTCCATACAGTACAAATTACTCCCCTTATTATATTTACTTACATCAATATGAATTTGTCCCATTAAATTTTATCTTTTTGCCTCACTAATTGTTAATTTTTTATATATTAATCTCTTTTTTTTTTTTGAGAAAAATCAAACTAGAAGAATTTCATTAATTAGAAACTGAATATAGATATAGACTAACTAGAATTTCATTAATTAGAAACTGTATATAGATATGAGATATACATATTAATATATTTCTATATTTTTATATAAAAAGTCTAATAATAAACCACTTATACAAAGAATAAAAAAATTACTATAATGGTGATAACGGTAGATCTGAAGATTATTTTAAAAAAAAAAATCAAATAAAAAAAGGAAACGGTTGACTACCGTCCGTGAAAGAAGAGAAGAGAGACTCCTACAAACTAGATTTTCTAAATCAAATAACGAATGTTCAAAGAATCTTAGCTTGAGATTACAGACCCAGTACGTAAGGAAACATAAAGAAATGGACAATTACTTCCTTGTACTGCGGAGGCAACTAACCAAGTGGCCAAGCTTTTTTTTTTTGACATTACCAAGTGGCCAAGCTTTTCTAATATTATTCCAATTTGACATCAGAGTCCAATATTTAAAACAAACGCCGGAAATTGACCGTTGAAAATGAAAGAGAAGAAAAGTAAAACCACAGAATAGAAAGATAATGCCATTTATACTCGCCAAGTCTTCATCACAATCCTAAATTAAAATTACACTCTCTTTTATCAAATATCAAAATAGATGTACAATCATAATAATAATTCGAATAGATTTGAAAACCAGATTTTTTTGATGAAAAGTATTGAATTTTTTTAAAAGAAAAGTGAAATTATATTTCATTATATGAAAAATATTATACATGTTTGAAATACAAATCGGGATATTATTGTATTTGATTACAATGAATTTTCACGAGTAAACTATTTGCTTCTTTCTTATACTATGTTTAATCCTAGCTACCTGTCTTCATTTCTGTCTGTTGTTGGATGCCATTGCTGGCCACCGCCATCTCTGTCTCTGCTGCTTGTGCTGCCTCCCGGAACTTCTTATAAATGTCACTCTTATAAAATTTTCTAGTTCTAAGCACCAAAATAAGTGACACAAAAGTACCAAATAATGTCACAGCAGTAATTATAATAAAGGACAATTTGAAGCACTCAGTCCCAATGCAACTGAGCTCTTGACCATGCTGCCTTTTAAGTCCTTTAGCTGCCAATTGCTTGTTTGCTTCTATGTCATACAATTGCCCTGCTACTCTCACACTCAGCACATAGGACCCAATAGGGCTAGCCACTCCCCCAAAATTGTACAGAGTAGAATAATACTTGAGACCAAAAATTTCAGAGATTATGGCAAAAAGCAAAGGCCATTGAGCACCAAAACAAAACCCAATAATTATTGAAGCCACGTAAAGTCCACCAGGGACATTAAATGCGATTAGGAGATGCCCCACACAAGAAAATAAAAGGATCAATGTGAGCATTAGAGGGCGAGGAAATTTATATTTGGATAAAAAATGTTCAGAAGCAAAACCTGCCACAACTCTACCAAGATAATTCCATATACTCACTAATGAAACGAAAGTACTTATACTTCTTTTAGGGTACTCTAAAGATGTCCCTATTTGACCCAAGTTGTCAATAGCTGTTAGTGTTCCCCCAACTCCACAAATTGTTGATAAGAAGAGAACTAACATATCAATACTAAAAAGTGCTTGTAATATTGTGTAGTCCTCTCCTCTATTTGGTGGCTTAAACGCAGTTTTCCAACATGAAACATTTTCGTCAATGACATTTCCCGACGAGGCTGCAGTGCTGGCTGTGGCAGCCGTGACTGTGACTGTGTCTGTGGCTGTGGCAGTGTTTTCTTCGGTTGTAATTATTTTCAAAGGTGAGGGGTTATTTGAAGCTAGTTTCTTGTTTTGCCAAATCTTGTACTCTTCTATTAAAACAATAGCAAGAGGCAAAAACAGCAAGAAAAGAACCATAGCAGCGCTAGCACCATATTCACTCCGCGTAAATTGCAATCTTTTTTGTAGTATAATAATTATCATTAAAAACGCTGCAAGGCCTAGCGAAATGTAGAGAAAATTGTAAAAAACTTTGAGCTCATTCGGTTGGCGAATTACCTTCATGATTCTTATAGTTCTCAAGAAAGCAAAAGAAATCGCCGCCGGTAACCAACCGATCAGCAAGATCAAGCTTTTTGAATCATCACCATAAACGGCATGATATATTTGAGTTATAATTGCACCACTCAGCCCTACATAACCTTTCAAGATTCCAAGAACGGCACCGCGACTTTCAGGAAAGTTCTTGACGCACGTGACTAAAGAACCAGTGTTTGCAAAGGCTTGAGAGTTTGCTCCTATACAAATATATAAGCACATATGCCAAACATGGACGCCGGAGATTTTTCTGGTGACGGCAAGCCAAATCATGAAATACCCGAAAAAGTTCAGGACTGCCCCCATTGAAAGAACCACCCACGGGGGCGTGACCTCGTTGATAAGGCCGGATAGGACGCCGACGTTTGCTCCTAGGTCTTTGAAAAAGCTTAGTAGAGTAATTGTCGTTTGGTCGTAACCTAAGGCGGTTTTGATGTCGTTTGAGTAAAGAGCGAACATGTAAGTTGCACCGGCGGCTGCCATTATGAGAAATGATGCGAAGACCATGAACCACCGGCCGGTGATGACTTGAACAGTTAAGTTCTTCATGTCAGCCAAACCACCTATGCCACCACCGCCACCACTACCACTACCAGGGCTAGCAACCACCATTTTTGGGTACTGAGTGCTGTTCTAGTGACAGAGTACACTTTTGAGTTGATTTGTTTTGGGGGACTTTAGAGAAAGAGGAATTGGGGATTCAATATTGTGGTCTCTATATATAAAATAAAAAAAAGGTTTGAGAAGAAGGGTAAAGAAAGAAAATTCAAAGAAATTACACTCTTTTGGATGACTTCATGGATAATGGATTGGCTAGTGTAATAAGTTTGTTTTAATTAGTAAATTTGTAAGTATCGGTTATTCTCAAAAAAAATAAAAAAAAAATTGTAAGTATCGGAGATGGAGATTTGTTAATTGTTTCCTTTGAATTTTCTCACAACTACAACTTCATTCCTCTATTTAGTAAACTAGAGTTTAACAACGTGCAAGTGGCTACTTATTATCTGTAATGCATGGACACGAAATAGAGGCTTGGGTCCTGCACAAGTGACAATTCAGAAATGGAAACTCTAGGATACTTTTGGAAACGTGTCGGGTGCTTTCCATAAATACTGAATATCGGACACCCGTTTTTCTCCTCATAAATGTTTTTTGCATTAAAAAAAAATCAGATTTCAAATCCAAATCAAATTTGAATGATTTGCAAATTTTATTTGGAAAATGACAAATAATCTTGCTTTTAATTTCAATATTCAAACGTCAAATTTTACGGAATTTCATTATTTTTTTCCATTTTGACATTTGAATATTTTGTTTTCTTTTTTTCTTTATTGAATATGAAACTTATGAATTAATTGTCCTTTAAAAATTTTAAATATACTATTTCTAAAATATTTTTATATTTATTCCTATATTTTTAAATTTTATAAATAAACCCTTATATTTTTTATATTTACACGTTTTCCCATATTTCCGTTTCCTATATTTTTTAAAAATGTCGTTCCCCCCTATCTATTTCCACGTTTTTCCGTTTCCATGTCAGTGCATCATAGCTTATTATAATTCCTTGTTTTTATCTTTTCTTTCTAAATATGTTTGATCGGGTTTTTTTAATATAATAAAAATAGTAATAAATTATTTAAAAAAATAAAAACATTGCGTGCTGTAAATATAATAATATGTATATAAAAAAATGAATGAATATTGTAAAAGAAACTATTGAAATGGAATGCAAAAATAAAATTTTATGATTGAAATAATGTGAAAAAAAATTATAACTCAAGTAAAATAATATCTCTAAAATAATGAATAAAAATAAAATCTCTATTATAAATAAAAAAATAATGAAATTATAAACTTTTATTGTTTAACATAAGTATTTTTACCTATTTGATATATATATTATTTATGGTGAGCTATTGCCTCACCAACTAGTTAATTAGATGCGAGTCTGTCCTCAGGCGGATTCCTCCTTTTGCTCCTCAGCTTACGATTTCCAAGGGCAGGTTTAATTGCGCGCTACTCAACTGTGTAACTCCACTTTCCGTCCAATTTGAATGTGTTAAGCATGTATCGAACTCTCCATGATATCTTAGTTATTGCTAAGTCAGTTGACAAACTTATTCGGATTTGTCTTTCATTTCATTAAACTAAACGATATCTGTAATATTAAGAAGTAATTATTCGATACGTAGAACAGTCTTTGACGTAAAATAATAATAAACTCTATAATCAAAGAAAATTTAAAATTTTTACGGTGATTTTTTTTCTATAAGAATTAATTATATATATATATATATAATAAAATGGTAAATTAATAAAATTTTTAATTGAATTATAATCATAAATTAGTCACAATTATAAATTCTTGTAAAATAGTTTTTATAACCAACCAAACTAAAAATTATATTAAAAATTATTAAAAATAATTATCTTTATTCTACTATAATAAATTTAACAATAACGAAAAATTTAATAACAGAATAGAATTAGGATAAAGTCTTATTATTTACCGTGATTGTTTTTACCACGCTGTTATGTTTAAATTAAAAATTACCAACAAATCAAATTGAATTTTTATATTCTTTACTATATTTAAAATATGCATATTTAATATATAATATAAATTTTTAGATTTATCAAATTGAATACTTGAAATCCTACTATATCGAATATATTATATAATTTCTTATTTTATTCAATTAAATTCTTATATTATTGCCATATTTAATATATACCTTATTTAGTATATAATATAATTTCTTATTTTATCAAATAGAATCTAAATTTAAATAGAAAATCAATATAACCAATCAAATAATTTTGCTTATTGTTACCTAAATAGAATCTAAATTTAAAATAGAAAAATCAATATAGACGCAATCCCAGAATTGAAATAATTATTTATTTTTTTTAATTCAATGAAGAATTAAAATATTTAAAAATATTGTATTCTTATCAATATTTAATATATACTTTATATAGTAGATAATTTCTTATAATTTTGTTTTATAAAATTATAGACTACCAATACGAGGAGAATTGAAATAGTGAAACAATTAGAAATTAATTTAGCGCTTTATTTGTTTAGACTAATAACAAATTTAAAAATTCTTAGAATAATTTTTTTGTTATGTACCATATATATAATATTAATATATAAGAAATAATAATATATCTTTAATTCAATTTTTCCGATAAAATTTTATACTTAAATAGAAAAATTTAAATATGCAACATAATCAAAATTAAGTCACCATAAGATTCTTTTGTTTTTGAGTATATATATATATATATATAAAATATAATATAATTTCTTAATTCATCCGATAAAATTTATACTTAAATAGAAAATTAATATAACTAATCAAAATTAAATCACCACTATTTTTTTTAGTCAATAAAATTAAAATTGTCAATAATATTTTTGTCGATCCACTAACTTAATAGGCGCATTTTTTACGATCTTAATATTTTCCCTCCCCTAACTCGATTAATTAATAATTGGTTACCCACAAATAAAATAGACTATCTACCTATTCAAACTTGGTTTATACCTTAGATGAGTTTTGAATATAAGAAAAGCATATTATTATTAAATTATTCAAGTTGCTAAATAAAAAGTGAAAAAAGAATATATTATCGAAAAATGTTTATTTTATTCCACCATTTGATTAAAAATTACATAATTTATGGATCTTCCCCACCCGTCTTTCCAATTTCATTTCATTCACATTTTCTAACTTCCTAATCCTTCATGTTTATGTTGCATCTAAAGTGCATGATCCTTTAGCTGGTTTGCATTTTTATTTTATTTTTTGACATAAATAATCAATAACATAAATAAAAAGCTAAAGCTATGTTTGATGAGCCGTAATTGAATTTAGTATATAAATATTTTTTTAATTATTTTTTTTAAGATTTCACGGAAAAATTAATGAGAATATGAAAATAAGGAGAAAAATTTTAGATTGCAACTGTTTATAAAAATAATGATTTTTCTAACTGTCAATAATATCTTTTTTTTTCCTTTTTAAATAAAATTAGGTCCTTTCCTCAAGAGCACAAGCATATGGTCTATGACCCACATTCAGCCTGCCTCTAAAAATCAAAATATGGTGAAAAAGATAAAAATAAATAAATCCATTTTGCTAATTGAGTTAATATATAATGTATACTTTATATGCATTTCAAATTATGACAATTATGAGATTGGAATATATTAATTATTATGATAATTAATATAGTTTTCTTATATTTTAATAATACAAACAATTTATGGTATTGTATTATATACGAAAATATTAAGTTAATTGATTGATAAATACTTTTATTTTAATTGATCCTCAAATTATAATAATTTTTTATTATTATAAAAATATTTTTCCTTAACAAGCTATTTAATTATTAATTTTATATTTTATTATTTCATAAAACGTTATTTTTTCTATATTATAAATATTCTTAGATTTTTGTACTATAAACTGTTTATAATATTATAATTTATAATAAAAAATTGTATATATAAATTAAATTACATTTATTTTCATATATGTAAAAATGAACAAGTATTAATAATATGCAATACATGATCGAGAAAATGAATTATATTTTAAAATCATAAATTATAATAAATCAAGATCTAGAAGCTCAACATTATAAAGCAAGGAAAAGTCTCAATAACTTGCGTACCTACCTGGTAACTGTGGTTTTTTTCGTATCTTGGTGCCTTGGATGCGATGCGAGGGATATGAATTATCACCTCCACATTAACCCAAAGAAAGGGAAGATCATGTATAATTAATTACTGATATAATGTTAATTAATAATAATAAAATAATTGGTCAATTAATAATATATGAATGGATGTGATGGAGATGTATATCATGGGTTTATTATATATTTGGGGTAATTGGCCAACCAATTGCTTGGAGATAGTGACTTCCGAGTTGTTCATAATCAAATTAGTCACTACTCTCTATATATATAAGGTGGTTGATTAGAATTTTCTAAATGTTTGCATGTTTTTATGCTATGCTGGCTAGGAATATGACTTGTTTTTTATTTAAAAAAAAAAAAAAAAACTATTCGGTCCTTGGCCGACTAATTTGAATTTGAATTCTGCAAATGCTCATTGTAAGGTAATCCTTACAATTCAGTTTTCTCCATTTACAATTCTGACTAATCCAAATTTGAGTTTTGCCGAGGATTATTATAAAGGCAATCCTCGCAATTTAGTTTTCTCCATTCACAACGTCAGGGTTTAAATCATGAACGCTTTTTAAAGAATCTAATGGCTCATACTAAAGTAATAATTGCTAGGTGGTTGGCTAAGAATATAACTTTGATAAGGATTTTTTAACAATAAATAACACATTTGACTAAGGTTTTTTCAAACGTTTGCATGTTTGTATGCTAGCTAGGAATATGATTTTTTTTTTTTAAAAAAAAAAAGGAAAAGAAAAAAATCACCAAATAGTCAAATGCTACTATCCAAAGCAACTAATTGAAAAGTCCAATTATTATATGCTATTTTTGAACACCACTAGTCAAGGATTGCTCTGAATGATTATCCTAAAACTAGTATAGAATATAATTAATTCTCGAAAACAAACTAGGGTAGATTAATTATAGTTTGGTTAATTAAACCATTAACCATCTTCTAACCGAAATGCTAATATTAGTTAACAAATTTTATCATTAATAAATTATCATAATTTTACTTTTCTTATTTCTTACTAGTAATTAATTAAGTTTTTATTAAATGTCAAATCGACAATCTTAATTATAATTTTGAATAGCCAAACACCATGACATATGAATGAGCTAATAGTGATGCAAACTTTGTTGAGTTTACTAATTACTCCCTCCTCTATAAAGATACGCTTGCTTTTCATTTTAAAAATACAATTAATTTCTTTTTTTTTTTATACATTAGAAAGCTCAATAGATTGAAATAACACTCTGAGCTACACAATTAGGGTCGAAAGGATTTGAACTGAAGACCTTTCATTCCTCACATGAGTCAAAAGACCAATCAAACTACACCTAACTGACAATTTCTTAATTCTTTTAATATACAAAACTTAATGTATTTTGTTATTAAAAAATTTTAATTGAAGCGACGTCTAATATTAAATAAGAATATATTTTTAATTTATATGATAAAAATAGAAATAAATAAATCATTGTCAAAGATCCTTACATGATTCGATTTTCAATTTCCAAAATTTGGTCCTCTCTATCAAAGAGGGACCAGAAAATTCTTGGAATATATTGCCCACTTTAACTCATAAATCGCGAAAATTCATTAAGTTATATTTCTAGTTAATGCTTATGGAATAAGCACATGCTTAATTACTATTATTTTAAAAAATAATAAATGAATTTTTTATAATTTTATCTTTATTTATATCAAATATAATAACTATTTTGATAAATTACCTTTAATTTTAAAATAAAAGATAATTTAATTAAATTACTTTAATTTTATTATTATTTAAAAAAATTAATTATTTTTTTAATTCTCATATAAAAATTTTAAATGATTTATAATTTTAAATGATTTATATTTTAAGGAAAAATAGAGTAATTAGTTTTCTCTGTTAGGCTGAGCAAGTCATTTAAAGCTTGACACGAGTAAAGGCGCTAGTCATAAGTTGAAGTCTGTTTTCTCCAATTGCAACGCAAGCATGAAATGCCAGAGTCAACTTATTCACACGAATTTTCAATCTCACGTGGTCTTCCTTCTAGAATTCAATATTTTATTATTTTAAAATTTAGAATGAGATTTCTATTTTTGAAAAATAGTACTTTTTAATCGTTGAATTTTGATCAAATTAACTAATTCATCCGTATATTTTGGTAAACCATATAATTAATTCCTGAGGTTTTACTCCGTCAAATTATTTCATTTTTCTGTAAAAAAAAAAAAAAAAAAAAATTTAATTTATGATTTTTAATTCTCATATAAAAAATTTTAAAAGACAATGATGTCATACATTCTTAAATAAAATACTGATTTAATATTATTAAAGGAAAGAATAAGAGTGTAAATTTAGTTTTCTCTGTTGAGGAACTGAGACAAGTCATGTTAGAAAGCTTGAACCACGAAGTAAGCCCGCTAGTCATAGTCCTCAAAGGTTAGAAGTTCTTGTGTTTTTCTCCAATTGCAAACGCAAGCATGAAATGTGCCGAGAGTTCAATTATTCAGATACAGCCTAGAGTCATCGTGAAGTGGAGGACGTATAGATGATATATGGTTCTCGCCGAGCTCAGGCAAGAGCGGGACCCGCATCTTGTCGATATCGAACCGTGGTCTTCCCTTCTAGAATTCCAATATTTTTATGTGAGTTTTTAAAATTTAAGACATGAGATTTCTATTTTTGGACGAAATAGAGTAACTTTTTAATCGTTGAATTTGATCAAATTAATAATTCATTCCGTCAATATTTTTGGTAAAACGCCAAATACTAATTGGAGCAAGAATTCCTGAGGTATTTTTGACTCGCGTCAAATCTATTGCGTCATTTTTCTGTAAAAAAAAAAAAAAAAAAAAGCTATTCGTCAGACGTTGACAGATGAAGGAAAAGGACAGACAAGTGTCGCTATTTACTATAAGATTTAACTGCTATAAATATAAATATAATAATATATCGTATCTACTTAAGAGATAAGAGGAGAAAAGTTCAAGAGGTTGTTTGTCGCACTGAGACGCCTCAAAGATATCGTGCGATCGGCTGCGCATTAAGGTTCAGATAAAATTAAAACCCTGGCGAGGTCCCGTAGTAAGGGCTTGAACTCACATTATAATACTCAGTTTTTAAAAAAAAAAAAAAAAAAAAGCTATTTCAACGTTACAGATGAAGGAAAAGACAACAATGTCCTTATTTATATAATATAATATAATATAATATAATATATAGTATACTTAGAAAGAGAGAAAAGTTCAAAGGTTTTGTCACGACCCAAAATCGTGGATCGGACTGGCATTAAGGTTCAGATAAAATTAAAACCCTCGAGGTCCGTAGTAAGCTTAACTCACATAAATCCAGTCTTTTAAACAAATTTTAGAAACAATAAATCTATAATGTGACGTTATTAATTCATACTGTAAATTTATATCTCTGGCCCCAGCTTTCACATTTCAAATGATTCATAGCTTGAACTTATAACTTTTTATTATACCATTAACGTCATCCACAATATGGGAAACTGGTCCATTCGTACTTTTAGAGAGTCAACTAGAAAATTCACAGGTTTATTAATTAACACATTAATAACTTTTACATGATAAATTGTAGTATATGACTTCCTATTTGCGCAGCTCAATAAGTAGATATTGATACATTTTTATACATAGTACTGTATATTCAAATATTATCAAGATCTGGTAATCACTAATATAACTCTATGGGAAAGAAAGCAGAGCTTATCTGAACCAACAGGGTGTCTACTTCCTGAAAAAAAATTAAGGAAGAGGAGTGAGTTTCACAAACTCAGTGAATAATAATAAATAATGTATTTAAACAATCACACAAAATGTTTCCCACATTTATATAATGGACACACATCCAATGAAGCACGTGTCACAATATCAGTATCCATAATAATATCATCTTCAAATAATTACATCAAATGGAAATTAGTCACTGGCGTCACAAATCCTCGACAAGCCATCCTTACACATGGTCTGTCCTCTCGTACGTGTGCACCAAGGAGCTGATCCTCCATACAGGGCCAACTAGTCTATTCCTCACTTGACCAGTCTCGCATTGTTTTTCCATTTTCTCTTTCTTTTCTATTTCCAACAAGATGTCACTATGTGGTTTTGCCACATTATTCCTATCATATTTTCATCAGGTGTATATGTGGGTGCCGATCTCCCATAAATGTCAATAGTCCCGGACCATTCTCACAATCTCATAATGACCCACTTCATCTCAATTCCACCCGCAAACAAAGCACAGTATAGCCATATCGCAAGCAATTCAATCAATTCATATAATATAAAAAATCACATAAGAGATAAATTAAGCACATTTGAGTGCAATTATGGAATATATATAAATTTATAATTCTCATATGCTTATAGTATTATAATTTGTATGATGATCATAATGTAAATAATGTTATTTTTATTAAAATAGTAAAGCCTAAGTATCATTATATATATATATATATATAAAAGATGTGAAATGGTTGATGCATGTAAGCAAATGTTGGTATGCATCATTTATTATTACTCACAATGATAACAGATAGAGCATGCTTTAGCTTGAATTTTTGATTAGTAGAAACAATAGACGAACTTGGACAATTTAGATAAAACACAAATATAAAATAAAGACTGCATTAAACAGATGATTTCCCTTAAATAATAAATTAAAGAACTAATTTAATAAATATTCACTAAATATAGATCTGCTATTGCTAATTTAAATCTTATCAATATCTTTAACAGCACTTCCCCTAAAATATGACTTTCTACGTGTTTAAATATTAACCATTTAACATACTTATCAATTATTTCTTACACAGCCCATTTATCAAGTAATCAATCAATTTAAATACCCAACCACCATAAGTAGCAATTTATATTCAATTCTTAGCGTCTGATCTCAGTACATCATTATATATCATTCTAGTTTAACCTCAAAATTAATACTTCCATTAACTTCTTATGTCATTTTAAATAATATAATTCACCACCATCTTAATTCACATGACATAGTCCTAATTTCGAAATAACTATTACCTTTCCATCAATAGGATCCCTTTTACATAAATTATTTTCGGTCTCCAAAACAACTTGTCAAGTATTTAATTTACTTCCTTTTCCTATTCATCACTCAAATGTATACCAATCCAGGACTTCACAAACTACTCCTTCATTTGATAAATGATTATCAATCAGGACTTATTCAAAGACAATTTCATACTAGAATATGGACCATATCTTCATACATTCATTAAAATAACTTTAGCTCCATAATAAGTGATGCCTATTAAAATAATAGGTCTTACTCTATTCATATTTTCGTATCATGTCCTACGCAAATCGTTCTAAGAACTTAATTTATGGTCCATTCTCAACCTTCAATCCAAATTAAATTATAAAGCTAAATTCTTCTTCTATAGTTTAATTCGTCAATCCAACCTACCATAAACATATACTAATTCCCATCAATACCACTACCCAAGTTCTTCAATTAAATTTATTTAGCAACAATTAAAATTTATTTTAATTTATTAAAGTTTTCTAATCAAATTAATACTTACTAACAATTATTATAATTTATTAAAATCCATTAATTATAATTAATATTCATAAAGTATATTGGGAAAATACCCAAAATACTATACTGCCGGACACAGAGATTGAATTGACAAAGAAAAAAGGGCAGCGGAAAGAAACTCCACCGCCGCTAAGGGAGAGAACAAACACTTTTTGCCCAAGAGGGAGAGTTGGGGAAGAATTCTACCATACCCTGTCTTTTTCCGAACATTCTTTCTTAAGGTCCATCTTTTCGGCTGAATTGATTGACTATGAAGGAGAGTCACAGGAGAGGAGTAGCTTCGCCGTCTAGGGAATGTGTGTTCGCCGCAACGAAGAGAGAGAGAGAGAGAGAGAGAGAGAGAGAGAGAGCGAAGAGAGAGAGAGAGAGAGAAGAGAGAGAGAGAAGAGACGAGCTCAGGACTACTGGAGTCGAGAGAGAGAGAGAGAGAGAGAGAGAGAGAGAGAGCGAGCTCAGGACTACTGGAGTCGCCTGACCACTCAAGAGTCGCCGGAAAAATCGAAACGACGCTGGAAAGTAAACAAGAACCACGTTGGCGATGGAGAAATCGTAACGTTTCTCTGCTGCGTCGCCGGAAACAGAAATAGAGAGAGTTGCTTTCAGGTCGCGTCGTCAACGGAGAAGAACCGCAGTGGACCGATCAGCAAGGCTCGCCGGAAAAACGAGAAGGAAGGAGAGGAGTGAGCTGTCGATCGAAATCGCAGCTCCTCTTGCTTGCTGCGGTCACCGAAAACAAAACTGAGAGGGAGAGCGGTAGCGCGACGGCGAAGAGGTGGCGTTGGCTGGCTGTGGCTATCGAAAATCGAGAGAGAGAGAAAAAAGTTGAGCGGCGGTGGAATGAGGAAGAGAAAAAAACAGGAAAGGGAAAAAGTTGTTTTTAGGGTTCTCTAGTCTGATCCGGTTCGATTGAAACTAAATTTGGTCTAAATCAACGGTTTAATCCGATTTTTATTTGGTTTACAGATTTTTATCCGGATTTGGAGATTTAAATCGGTTTACAGATCTGATTTAATAATAGTATAACATTTTATTTTAAGTTTTGTTGTATAATTTTATTGGTTAAAATTTTAAATGTAAAATCTATGAAATTTTATTTTCGGTTATTTCAGGTTTAGACCATTTTTCCATTCTCTTAACCTCTTCTTTTTTTCATTTGACGTCTTTTCATCTCCTACTCTCCAACTCTGGCCATCAGCGATTTTTTGCAAAGAAGAAGAAATTTTATTTTGAAATGTGTCAATCGATCATGTTAACGAAGAAGAGTTAGACGACATATGTTGAAGAGGTATCTGGGGCAAGTGTGTGAGATGAAATATGAATTCATAAGCAAGAATTTTCTAGAAGTACTGAAATTTATTTTTCCGATCAAGAGTATATGAAAATTTCTCCGGCCAGCTGTGGTTGCTTCATCAATCAAGGACAAATTTTTTTGAACAAATGAACGAAACGAGTCAGACTCATGTAACTCCGAGTCACGACCTAGTTAAAAAGCTGAAACTAATCCCTGATAAAAACATGCGAGATTTTTACTGTTCTGGCGAAAATTTCCTCCTTTTTTGTCTCATATCCTCAATATCTCTCATCCTCTACATGGCCTTCTTTTCCCTAACACTCCTCGCTCTCATTTTCCTATTCCAAAACAGAGCAACTCGCAAGCTGCAGAAATCAAACTCAATTCCAGATATACTAACATCTTCCACATCTTTTTCAAAATATCAGCGACGACATGGAACGATTGCAACCTTCTCTCTCTACTGATGGGACGCAAAAAAAAACACGAGACTTCGTTTGGCTAAATGAAATGCTGAAAAGCAAAATGATAGAAAATCCAAAATATTGAAACTAACAGATTGTTGACCTCAATTTCACATATTTAAATTTTAATTACTGTTTCATCTTTATAATAAATACTAAGGTTAATTTTGTCTTTAAAATTTTCTTCTCTCACATTAGACTGCAGTTTCTCAATTGATTAACAATGAGGATAGCATTTTTTTTTATAGAAGGATGGAACAATTTTACGGAGCAAAATTTCAAGGGCTATTTGTAGGGTTTATCAAAATTAAGGGACGCGTTAATTAATTTGATCAAAATTCAAGGACTAAAAAGTACTTTCCCCTTTAATTTTTTACTAATTCACAAAATTAAAACATATGAATAACATTATGACAAAATAAAAAAGGTTTTGTATATCCACTTATGCAATCCGTTGAATAATCAAAGATTTATAATTAAAAATATAGCCAATCAATTTTTTTTTTTTTTTTACTTCTCCTCTCATGTCCTATAAACCAAAATATAAAAATAGAGCGTCCCAATTTCTGACTTATCTCCTTCAAGTTATTATAGATTTCACAAATATTATTTAAAAAGCAAAAAAGTATACTCTTTTTGTTTTGGATATATAGGAGGTCCAATGAACAAAAATAATATTGTGGGTTACATAGTAGTCGATAGCCATCCCCTTTGAATCACATTCACCAAGTAGATTCATGGTATAAAAATAGAATCAATTGACCCTTTTTTTTTTAAAAAAAATTCTCTAATATACATATATGTATATTTATCAAAATGAATTCAAAAGGTCCAATTTATTTATCTCTTTTGATCCCTCTTTCTTCAAAAAAAATCATATATTGTAATAATATAATTCCCCGTCAAGTAATAAATATTTAAAAAAAAAAAGATTATTTTTAATAGAGTGCACCCTTTTTTATTTCGAGAAAGGAAAAGTTACTACTAATAATAATTATCATTTAATATCTATAGAGTAGCTTAACAATAAATATAAATAATTTGATATTGAATATATATTTTGAATCCTCTTTCCATAAAAAACTCCGTCTCATTTTATCTGCTTGTTATTTTTTTTTTTTAAATATCTCAAAATGTTTAAAAAATTTCTAAATTTAAATATATAAATACTTATTTTTCTACCTTTATGATAAGAACTCTGGAACAAAATGAGAGTTAATTATGAAAAATTTTTATTAATATCTTAACGAGTTAAAAAGCAAAAAATGACAAAATAACTTTTATTTATTAAATTATTACTGTGCATATTTTGTCAAACTATATAAACAAAGTAAGAATATATCATTGCATTTTCAGGCTCAACACAGAAAAATCCTGTGGTAACTTATTTAATTGCCCCGTAATTGAACACAATCATAATTAGAATTAGAATTAACATCAAAAATTTTCTGAGCTCATTTCTAAACTAACTTCAGCCATATTCAGCAACAGCTTTTGAATAATCAATAATAATTTTTAATTCGAAGAGTCAATGAGATAAGATAACTCTAAAACTACGCATGAGAGAATAGCCCTCCCGAACCAGACCACACCTTATTGGTTATTCTATTTTATAGTTGTCATCATCTAATATTCAATCCACCGATGGCAAATTAACCATTAGTCGCATCCATGTAAACTTTCCCTCAACAAAAAGGTCTCCACCAGGCTACATCTACATATGAAGTAATTAACACAACTATAATAACTAAATTACAGCTAAAATATCTGGTACAACAAAATTCAGTTTTGCTCAGAAACAGAAACGTTAATTTGCAGATTGAATTCATCAACAATCAGGCATGAATAAACCATGCATCCAATTGACAACTCAAAACACATTCAAAATTGAAACCAAGCTAAATAAAGTCTTTACCTTAATATAGCAACTGCACCATCTACAAAAGAAATTTCATATTCCAGCTAGGGGAAGAAATTTGTACCATCCTACATAACAGACCTCGTGAAACTGGATATTTAGCCTAGGCGCATACACCTAATAGTTAATAACACTATGGCCCCCAATAATTTAATAGCGCTCGAAGGAGGATGGATGCCCTCCCCTGCTAAACCTGTCAAATGGACCTGGTCTACTCCTGTAGTTCCTATCATTTCGTGTAGGCCCTCCGCTTCCGCTTCCGCTTCCACTTCCACTTCCATACCTATCGATGCCTCCTCGTGCAACACCACCGTCCCTGTCATAGGCTCTATCTTTGCCATAACCGTTTGGTGCATAACGATCTGACCCACCGTATCTATCACTTGCAAAGCGATCTCCACTTGGTGGGTACCTGCAAGGTTTACAAATTATGATAGTGGCATTCACCCATGGTAGAACACAAGGGAATAAAAAAATGGTTCCTACAAAATATCACAAACCAACCTAACATCTTGAGATGAGTAGAATTTAGGTACCTGTCACTAGCATAGCGATCACGGCTCCCATATTTATCTCGGCTGTCAAAACGATCTCTATCACCAAATCGCCCTCCATCATAGCGGTCATCCATGTATCGATCACGATCACCTCCAAAGCGATCACCACGGTCACCAGCCCCAGCAAACCTAGAACGTGAAGAGAATGAACCTCCACCCCCACCTCGGCCACCAGCTGAAGGGCAGTCTCGGGCCCAGTGTCCTAGGCGCCCACACTTGAAGCACTCATCTTGCCCAAGAGTTCTGTCTCCTCCATAGCCTCCTCTGCTACCTGAAGATGAGTAGCCACCCCTGTAGCCTTGATCTAAATCATCTCCTCCCATTTTGGGTTGAGCCTTGTTCACTGAGATGACACGATCACCAAATTCGCGTCCATGCATCTCCCTAATAGCATCATCCATGGCTCGGCGATCAGCAAATGTGATAAACCCAAATCCACGTGGCCGTCCAGTATCTCTTTCCAGCATGATCTGCATAAATACCATAATAGGAAATCGTGATGAGAAGCAACGTTACATGACAAATCAAGGGAAAATTAATATGCAAAAATCAATGCTGCACATGTATGAGATATCAAGACGCATTTACCCAGTGAATAGAAAACATCAAAGCAAATATGCATCAATGATGCTCCAAATTGAATAACTATGCCGTTTAATCAAAATTATCTGAGGAAATCATTAATTTTCACATACCTGAAACTTGAGCAAGCAATAATGATGATAAAGGATTAATGGCTTTAAACGTGACACAACAAAGAGAAAATTTGTGACGATGAAAGGTAGGAAGAATCCTGATAATAATTTCACTCTATTACTGCTACCAAACATCCAGAGCAAGAAACATAAAAAATGAATCTCCCCCCCCCCCCCCCACGTGGCCGTGCCACAGTATATCTTTAACCAGCAATTTGTAGTCGTGCATAAATACCATAATACGGCAGAATTCGTGGGATGGAGCAGAGAGGGCGAACGGTGTGATAGAACAATAGAGTCAAGGGATAAGATATAAGATATGGATTTCGAAGGATTGGCAGAACGGTGAAGTATGTCCGCAAAAATCAATTGCTGCGACATGTGATGAAGACTTCAGACGCTTGGTTACCCAGATCGAATAGGAAAACTATTCAAAGAGCAAAATATGCATCAATTTAGATTGCGTGCGCCAAATTGAATAACTATGGCCGTTTAATCAAAATTATCTGGAGGAAATCATTAATTTTCACATGACCTGAAACTTGACAAGCAATAAATTGGATGATAGAAGGGATTAATGGCTTTTAACGTGACACAACAAAGAGAAAATTTGGTGACGATGAAAGGTTATAGGAAGAATCCTGTAATAATTTCACTCTATGTACGCTACCAAAACATGCACAGAGCAAGAAACATAAAAAATGAATGTCTCCCCCCCCCCCCCCCCCCCCAAAAAAAAAAAAAAAAAAAAAAAAGCTTCTCTTTCTTGGGGCAGCTTTTTGATCTAGACTCCCATCATTATTCATTATCCAATAAATATGGATAAAATGATGCACAAGAAGTACCATTCTCAGAATCTAATACAAGTTTAAAAAACTAAATATGTCATAAAGGGAAAACTTCAGAGACCACACAAATCAGTCACCGATGGATAATAGCTGTCAGCTTCAAATCTATCTTTGAACAAGTTTAATTGATCAGCAGAATAGGTTTTGTTTAATCAATGGGACAAAGGAACTTTATACATGCGAAAAAAATGTACACACAAATTAACATAGCAGAAAAGACAGTTAAAGGATACCTACCTGATATAGTTCACCACTATAATTTATTCATTTATAGCACTAGTAGATGAACAAATTGCAAAAACTACTACAACAAAAAATTAAATGCAGACAGTATTTTTGAAGATCTATCAGGCACATGTGAACAATAAGTTTTAGATGTAACTTCAGCAGATGAATCCATTAACTTTCAATAAAAGGGGGCAAGAAAGGTAAAGTGTAAACTCCACAGATTTTGTCTGAAGTATAAAATTTAGTTACAAAGAAGACCTGCAGTAAAAAAAATCTAATAAAAAAGATGATCAAAGGTAGCAAACAGATAACTTACTTTCGAATTGTTATTATGGAATGGCTAAGGCATCTCAACGTGTTTGATATTGCAAAGAGTTCTTAAAGAAAACAGAAGAATCTGCAAACTGTATCTGACATCTAACATAGCAGATCAACTTTTGATATCTATTTCCCCCAGAGTCTGAGATAAAAGTTCCATAATCAATTGTGATACAGCTTGACTGCATCATTTTAGCCCAGATAATACAACAATGACATCCCGCTTAAGCTGGTCATCGCTAGTCTTCCTACCGAATATGACTATATTACCACTTAGGTTATCAAATATCACACATATTCTCAGAAGGATAGTCTAAATATCAGATGAATCTCTGTTTGGCTGCCACAAAATCAAACTATCCACATCCACACATATCAACAAGCTAATCCTTTGGCAGTGCAGAAGAAATGCTACAACTAGGCCTAATCTCACGCTTCTTTCATTTTGATGAAATGCTAGAACTGGGCATAACCTCATGCTTCCTTCGGTTTGGAAATTTAAAGAAAATGATGCAATTAGCTGGGACCTTCACTTTGGATAGAAAGCTACACAGCTTCATCATTCTGAATCCTTATTTAGCAACTCGTCATCCAGTTTGCAGGAGAACAGTGTGGCTGAACCAGACACCCAGTTACAAAACAAGTTTCTATATGCAGCTGCTCATAAATGGAACAGAACCTCTAGCAACCGACAAAACTTGATGCAGACAGATGAAAGTCATGAATCCGCACACCTTTTGCCTTGAAAACTATGACTATAAGCATAAGCATAAAGTTCCCAACAATGTAGAAAACTTCCAATCACTGCAACACTGGGCGACAAATAGAAGTCCTGTTGTTGGGAAATTAGACTTGGAAGAACGGATAATGACATACACAAAATAATTTCAACAGCTAACAACTAAACATATCCAGACTGCAGCCTAAAGAGGCATGAGCCTTTCTGGTGGCCAGAAACAGACACACCCGGCTACTAATTCTCAATGTCAAAATTTTTATCTAATTATAAAACTGCTCGTAAGCTACAAGGCACCCAAATCTGTATTGCTTAGACGGCCCTGAATCTGTTCTCTGCCATGCAGAATGCAGTTCTGGAACATCAAAGCAAAAATTACAGTTTATGGCTCCTGAGGCTTCAAACGGAAACACATTAATATGAAGAACTAATAAAACAATACAAAGGTCCATCAGCTGGGTGGCATACATATGCACAATGCAGAATGTGATGAAGGATTAAGATATTTTTGTAACCCATAGCTCTACTCTGATAGCAACAATGAAACTTATCCAGACAGCTCAGCAAATAAATCCAACAACACAATCCCGTTGTAGAATAGCAAGCACGTAGCTCAAGCATTCCGAAATAGCTATGTCCAAGGATGAAAATTAGAAATCTTGTTCAAAATTAATTGTGCAAGGATGAAAAGTAAGAATCTCAGACATCACAAGTCCGCAGCATTAGCATGGCATGTGAATCCACCTCCATGCAAAAGCGGATAGCCCTACTTATGATTCATAACATCAAGAATGATGTGTTGGAACTTCTCTCAAAACCTTGACATAATCAGGAGAAGGGCTCATGGTCATATTAAAACCAAAGTTCATTATACACTTGCATCCTACTATATAAATCAAGCATCACGTATCAAGACACTCTGATTATCAGGCAAGTGAAAGGCAAGTAACAGAGTGAAACCAGACAATAGAGTGTAAAGAAGAATCCACATGCTACAGGATAGATTGATAGTTTCCTGATGATAGATAACCATCAAGATCCTCAGAGAAGGAAGCGTATTAACATAGATCCCTTTAGACAGGTGCCCAAAGAAGGAAGAATAAGAAAACTCTGGCCCAGGAAACTGTCACAGATCCATGTGAGATCATCCATCATATTTTGGTCCAACTAGCATGAAAGCAGGAAAAATCCAGTTGAAAAACCAGACACATACTCTCTTACAAAGGTCCAACTAATGTTCCTCACTTAACTGAGATTCCAGTTGTCAAAGGATTATCAATTTCAAAGTTACCAATATCTTATTTATGAATCCAGATAAACAATATCTTGTGTAAAACAGAAAAACTCTCAACCAAAAATAATTCAACAGTATTCCCACATTGCACATGCTCATTCCATACTTATAAATTGGATTCTCTTTCTTTATCCAACTGTAGTGATGTTTCCTCAAATTACAATGCCAACCCTCGTAAACCACATATTCCATATATCCATAGACCATCAGTGTAACTGCACTTGGAAATTTAAAAACTACCCATTCAACTTAACCTAATCAATGAAATGTGACTGATCTTGAACAACCTGATTCAACCACTCTGACCCAAACATCTCTAAACGTACAGCATCTCTAAATGTAGAACAGCATCTCAAAAGCTCATACCAGCAAGCCATAAAGAAACACAAAAGAACAAGGAAAATTAATACAGATAAAAAGAAAATTGTAAGTAACCTTAAAAAACCATATACCAGGAGCAAAACAGCTTAATAATTTAAGAAATCAAACAGTAACTTACTGTGTAAGTGAGTGTATACAGATATATACCATATTTTTTAGCATAAAAAAAGATTAACTTAGGAATATTTCAAAAAATTCGAATAAAATTAATACCGTGAAACCATCAAAAATTGAAAAGTGGCAACAGTTTCCGAACATAATAACTTTTTCCTTTTTCTTAAAACTTTAGGAAACTCAAAAGTTTCAAATTTTAAAAATTTGCTTTCTATCTTTTCCTTCATTTTCTCAACTACCAAACATAATCAGAAAGAATGAAACCAAAAAAAGTAATACCTGACACTCAGTGATTTTGCCGTAGCGATTAAACGCATTCTCGAGCTGTCGCTCCGTGACCTCCCAAGACAAGCCTCCAACGAAAATTCGGTAGTCTTCCTTTCCGGCCATCTTTCATTCGCTGCACAAAAACAAATTATGGAATCGAGACCGCAACGATAGAGATAAGAGAAAGGAAACAGAAGAATTTCGTTACCTAACAGGTCGCAAAATCGAGAGTTACGAGAGAAACCCTAGAAATAATTTTTGGGGACTGCTTTTGTTTTCCTCTTTTACGATGGTTTTAATTTTTACCACCCCGGAGATTGATATTTTTACTTTTGTTTTTTCGGGGCGAAGGGCTTGCATCTTTATGATTAAGTTTAAGCCCAGCCCAGTCCGAAATATATGAAAGCGGTGGATTCAGAGTAATCAGTCATTAAAAATTAAAATTAAAAAATCATTAAATTTCAAAAAAAAAAAAGCTAACAAGACGTTGTATGTTTAGTGGTTGGTTTTCTCACATCTTATAAAAATATAAACAGTATAAAAATTATCACTAATTTGATAAATATTATTTAAAAGAGAAAATTATCATGTTGTATAGCTTACAATATTATTTAAGTTAAAACCTTTTATAAATCAATCAACGTGTTAAATGGTTGTTTCAATATAAATTATATAGTACCGTTAAAAAAGAATAGAGAAAAATAAAAAAAGGTTACATAGAAATCGCCTTTAAAAAAAAATTCATCACTAACTTAGGAATAAAAATCCAATAATCACTAAGGGATAGAGTACTAAACATTGAGATAGAACATAATTTTTTACATCTTAAATAATAAATGAGTACCGACATTAGTTTGTCTCTGACCTAGTCATGGCCATATTACGGTTCCGGGAACCGGAACCGTCGGTTCGAACCGGCCCGGAACCGTAATCGGAACCGGTGAGAACCGGAACCGGGAACCGCGAACCGTCGGTTCGAACCGGCCCCGGAACCCCGTAATCGGAACCGGTGAGAACTCGGAACCGGAACCGAAAAATTCCGGTTCGGTTCTGTTCCAGCAAATGAGGAACCAGAACGGCGGTTCCAGATAAACCCGGTCGGAACCGGACTGGAACCCCCGGTTCCTCCGTCGGTTCGACCGGCGGTTCTAGCCGTTTAACTATCAGTTTTTGCATTTTTTTTTTTTTTTTAAATTTGTTGTGAAATGTTCTAATTAACCTTCTCCCAACAGCCATAAAGGCTATATAACGTTAGTTTCAAGGGTATTTTTGAAAAATAAATTTGATTTATTATTAAATACCTCATTTTATTTTACAAATTTCATTTTACAAAAAAAATCCAACCTCTCTCTACTACCTCTCTCTACAAATTACTTACACTCTCTACTTACTCTCTCTACAATATACTACCACTTCTACTCTATATTATTTTCATTATTCTTCTCTACTCTACAATTCTCTCTATTTAAGTTAATTATTCTCTCTAATTTTATTCAATTTTCCAAATCTATATTTTATTTATCATATACATGGCAAGTGGAGGAAACTCAAATTTCGGGTAAGGGCAAGGGAAAAATGGAGAATCATCTATCCTACAAACGACATCTATGATATGATTCCCGACCAATTTAATTTGAGGGTTTTCAAATTGAATTTGGAGTATTCCAACTCAAGAATCGAACTTTAATGGAGCAATTTTTCAAGAAGATGAAGAGCAAGAGCAAGAGCAAACGAGCAAAAATTGTACAAGAGCAAGACCCAAAGTCCGACATATTCTCCATTTCATTCACAAAAAAATTCCAAAGGTGAGAAAAATGTACCGATGTAATTTGGAATTATTGATGGAAAATCTTATAAATTTAAACAAGCGGGCGGCTATGGATCATTTGGAAGCATTTGGAGGCAAAAACATCCAATAAAAATAGGAGTTGATCAGTCTCCAACAACAAATTTCCGGTACGTTCTACCTTTCTTTATTTTAAATATTCTGAAAAAATACAAAAAGAGGAATTTAGCAAAAATTGATTTCTATGGAACATTTTATCTTTTAGTTTTGGTTGAAAAAGTAGGTTTTAATAATTATTTGTCAAAAAGCTTTAAATCCTTGTGCTTTAAAAGAGTACCAAAAATACTGTAAAACGAACTATTTATTTTCTTTATATAACAAAAGGAAACAAAGAGTTTAGAGCTTTTTATTTTCTCAATTAAATTCGTGTTTCAATTTGTTGTTGATGTTTGGAGTGATTCATTGGGCAATGCATTCTTATATGGGTATTACATGTCATTGGATTGATGATGATCTGAAAATTCAAAAAAAGAATATTGGTATTCGTGTTTTTTTTGATGATAAACATACTGCAAATAATATTTTATAGAGTAATTGTTTCAATTTTAGATGAATATAAGTTTGACAAAAAAATTTTTTTTCCAATTTCATTTGATTAATGCTTCCTGCCAATACTAGATCAATTAATTGAACTTTAAAAAAATTTGTGAAACCAAAATATTGGTGGTAAATTTTTTCATATAAGATTGCATGCCATGTTTTAAATTTATGTGTACAAGATGGTTTAAAAATTCTTGAATCTTTTATTTCTCAATTTAAAAAAAAGCTATTTCATATATATGGGACAACATCCCTTAAGTGATGAAAAGTTGGGCCTAACATTTTGTAAAGAAAATAAATAAAAGAACCAAAACGTTTCCAAGAATGTTTTCCCAACTCGTAGAATTCAACATATAAATTACTAAACGAGTCTTTTTTTTATAAAGAATTATTATGCTTTTTTGTTACTAATAATATTGAGGTATTAATTTATATCCACAAAATTGGGAGATTTGTTGCAAAAAATTTTAGATATTTTAAAAATTTTTAATGATGCTACTTTATAAAATTTAGTGGGGTTATTATCCCACATCTAATTTTATTTTTTTAACCTATTGTGTATTAATAAAATTACTGCACTCAAGAATTTTCAAAAAATGATGATTTATTAAAAAGATTGTATTTTTCAATGAAAAAAAAATGGTTATCTTATTTTAAAAATATACCAACCTCCCTTTATTTTGTCACTATTATATTTGATCCTAATTGTAGAATGGATGTTTTTTATGTGAATTAATTTGAATTTATTATGATGTATAAAAATCTTGATGTAGAAGATAATATTAATATAAATGTAGTAATGCATGAAGTTAAACAAATATTATGCAATTATATAATGAATTTGTTCAAGTTTTACTTAACTTCATCTACTTTTCTACTTCTACTTCTTCTCAATCTAATATTTCACAATTTC